ATGGCAGAGAAGTAAATAAATCTAATTTAACATCTTAACAAAGTTCAATATTTCCTTCTATATTCATATAAATGATCTACTATTCTATGAAATAGAAAATATTTCAAGTGAAAAAGTGAGAAATTCTATTAACATTCTTTTGTTGATACTATTTGGTGACTGTTATATTTAACTTCATGAAATCGTAACTGGGTCGGCCTTGATTTATGATTTATAAGCAAAAAAAAAAAAAAAAAAAAAAAAAAAAAAAATCCCTTAATCCCCATTATCTCTTCGTTTTTCAGTTAATTTCATTTGTTTTGATAACGCGTCAGAGTGTAAGGGTTGTCCATCGGAAATGCGTGTTACTGTTTTAGAGGCACTTTATATGGATATAGAAGAAAATATTGAACTTTGTTAAGATGTTAAATTAGATTTATTTACTGCCATTTCGAGGCAGCGCTAGTTTGGCAACTGTTTTGAAATGCGCGCTCAAACTGTCACTAACCGCCAGTGAAATAAATACCCTCAACTTATGCCTAAGTTATCTGTCTCCGAGATTGTTGGAGGGAATACTTGTCTATTGCTTTTAAACCCCAAGTATGTATATGTAGTGTGTGATTTTGACATTTCTATGTTCTCCAAGGACTGTTATGATTTGTACTTTATTGAGAGACACTTCCACATGTCTGACATCACTGAACAAGGTTTGCCTGCCTTGGAAAGCGTTTTAAGCAGGGAACGGGACAGTTCTTGGCTATCGGCAAGAATTCTTGTCCAAGCGCTCCCCTGTTAAAAGCGCTTCTAGTTTCGTGTTTTTAAGTGAAAAAGCTAGTTTCATAATCGCTTCTTTGTGATTATTGTCGTAATAATTATTTATTTCCAGATGGACAACTATCGGTCTGATCGCCGGGAACAAGATAAGCGGGTATGTTAAGTTATGCCCCTGCTATTGTATTACCACAATCATGTTATAATTCATACAATGTTTCTACATTTACTTTTTCCCGATGTTATGGCAATTGCGACATCGCATCACTGCAATTGCAGCTTTAATTAACATTTTCTTAGCTTAACAACTTTTTTTTCCAGGTTGCAGAAAAGAAGAAGAAGACAGAACAGGAGAAGAAAGCGAAACGAGACGCAGCCGAACTGGCAAGATCACCCCGCGCGAACAAGGGAGCGAGCCCCCCTGCCACCAAGGAAGCGAGCCCCCCTACCGCCAAGGGAGCGAGCCCCCCTTCATCCCCTTAGTGGAAAGTTACTTGTAGGTCACGGAGTTTTCTTCTTTTTGGTGCTCTTTAGTAATCATATTGTGTTTTGTTTCGGTTTAGTCGTATATTTTTATGTGGACAATATGTCTATAAATATTTCATTTAGGTTGTTTTGTTATAGCGGCTCTGTTTTGATTAGTCTATATATTAGTTATATCTTTTGCATTTGATTAACAGCCAGGGGTCACTCTGATGCCCCAGGACACAGCTGTAGCGGACGCGCCTTCAGTCGCCACCCGCGACTGCTACGACCTACAGTCTTCGTCTTCCCTTGATTCGTCTTGCCGTGTCATCGTCGCTTCCCCCCGACCTGGAATAGTGCATTCAGACCTCGCTCTTCGATCCTGAATAGTGACTCGACTGGTGTACGTTATCATTGCTGGCAGTTAAACTAAACGAAAAAATCCCGCAGCCTAAAAACAGCCGATACTTCCTTAGAAAAGTTAACGAGTGTCGTGAGGATTTCAAAAAATGAAATTAACACTGATCGCTACAAACTGTCTGCCATCATGAACGATTCGACTCAATAGTATTACCTGTATCAATTTGTCTGTGTGTGTGCTACATTGTCAATTTTAATATTCTCACATTGTGATCCTCTTTGAATCTTATTATTTTTTTTGGGGGGGGCTACATTGTAAGGTATATTCTTGTTGTATGTTACATTATACTTATTAACCACTCACATTTCTTCTAATTTCCCATATCAGAAAATCACGTCATTATGAAAATCTAAATAACAATAAAAAGAAAAAATATATATATAACACAATTGTGAACTTTTTGACGCTACAGAATTAGCGGAAAGCCTCCAAAAGAAAACAGGAAGGCGCTACGATGAGAAAATTATATGTATATGTATACACTTGCACATGTACATATACATACACGCATACATGCAAACATACTTGCCTAATACATTTAAAAATTACTTAAAACTTCTATTCTTATTAACACTTCATGAAATATGGAACATTGTACGCGACCTATTTAAAAGAAAGATGAAGTCCTATAATGCATTTCAAGCCTGAAAATTTATCATCTTCATTTAGATGATCACAGAGATCTGATTGAATTTATTGCGTCACGTTAAGAATAGCCATTGCACACCCTGTGATTAATGTGCTAGAATGGATACACCTCGGAAGGAGGAGGAAGGGAGGGAAGGAGGGAGGGATGAGTGAAAGAGAGAGAAGGAGAGAGAGAGAGAGAGAGAGAGAGAGAGAGAGAGAGAGAGAGAGAGAGAGAGAGAAAGGGGGGGGGGTCAGAGAGAATGAAAAAGAGAGCGGTTGACGAAGTAAGGGAGGAAGGTAGGAGGGGAGAAAGAAAGAAAAAAAATATATATATATATATATATATATATAGACAAACAGAGAAAGAGTCAGAGACAAGGAACACGGAAAACGAGAGAAAGATTGACAAAGGAAAGGAGAGAGGGAGAAAAGAAAGAAGGGGGAAAGATATTCAACGAACACTGTAATCCCATGACACGCTGCACTTTGGCCTGCCTCCGCACCACCCGACTCCCGCCGCGCCCAAGTCCAGCGGCCAAACAAGGGGGATGAAAGCAAGACGTCTCAAGAACAACATCACCATCATCTTCAGCATTATCACCATCACCATTATCATCATCATTATCACCATCATCATTTCCGTCACCATCATCATCATCACCCTCATCATCATCATCAATCATCATCATCATCATCACCATCATCATCATCAAACACACATTACCCATAATCAAACATTAATCACTCACTATTCATCATTGATAATGACAAAACAATATTCATGCACTCATGATTATCAGCATATAAAGCTGCTTTAGCATATACAATACTCTTTCCCTCCCTCCTTCCCTCCATCGCTTCTTTCTTCCCTCCTTCCTCCCTCCCTCTCTTTCTTTTCCCATCCATCCCTCGTTCCCTCACTTCCTTCTTCCCTCCTCTCTCCCTCCCTTTCTCGCGTCCTCTCTTTCTTTTCCCATCCATCCCTCCTTCCCTCGCTTCCTTCTTCCCTCCTTCCTCCCTCCCTCTCTCACGTCCTCTCTTTCTTTTCCCATCCATCCTCCTTCCCTCGCTTCCTTCTTCCCTCCTTCCTCCCTCCCTCTCTCGCGTCCTCTCTTTCTTTTCCCATCCCTCCCTCCTTCCCTCGCTTCCTTCTTCCCTCCTTCCTCCCTCCCTCTCTCTCGCCCTCTCTTTCTTTTTTCCATCCCTCCCTCCTTCCCTCGCTTCCTTTTTCCCTCCTTCCTCCCTCCCTCTCTCGCGTCCTCTCTTTCTTTTTCCCATCCATCCCTCCTTCCCTCGCTTCCTTCTTCCCTCCTTCCTCCCTCCCTCTCTCACGTCCTCTCTTTCTTTTCCCATCAATCCTCCTTCCCTCGCTTCCTTCTTCCCTCCTTCCTCCCTCCCTCTCTCGCGTCCTCTCTTTCTTTTCCCATCCATCCCTCCCTCTCTTGCGTCCTCTCTTTCTTTTTCCATCTATCTCTCCTTCCCTCGCTTCCTTCTTCCCTCCTTCCTCCCTCCCTCTCTCACGTCCTCTCTTTCTTTTCCCATCCATCCCTCCTTCCCTCGCTTCCTTCTTCCCTCCTTCCTCCCTCCCTCTCTCGCGTCCTCTCTTTCTTTTCCCATCCATCCCTCCCTCTCTTGCGTCCTCTCTTTCTTTTCCCATCCATCCCTCCTTCCCTCGCTTCCTTCTTCCCTCCTTCCTCCCTCCATCTCTCTCGTCCTCTCTTTCTTTTTTTTCCATTCATCCCTCCTTCCCTCGCTTCCTTCTTCCCTCCTTCCTCCCTCCCTCTCTCACGTCCTCTCTTTCTTTTTCCATCCATCCCTCCTCCTTCCCTCGCTTCCTTCTTCCCTCCTTTCTCCCTCCCTCTCTTGCGTCCTCTCTTTCTGTTCCCATCCATCCCTCCTTCCCTCGCATCCTTCTTCCCTCCTTCCTCCTTCCCTCTCTCACGTCCTCTATTTCTTTTTCCATCCATCCCTCCTTCCCTCGCTTCCTTCTTCCCTCCTTCCTCCCTTCCCTCACTTCCTTCTCCATCCCTCGCTTCCTTCTTCCTTCCCTCCTTCCATCGTTTCCTTCTTCCCGCCTCCCTCCCTTCCTCTCTCTTTCTTTTCCCATCCATCCCTCCTTCCCTCGCTTCCATCTTCCCTCCTTCCTCCCTCCATCTGTCTCGTCCTCTCTTTCTTTTTTTTCCATCCATCCCTCCTTCCCTCGCTTCCTTCTTCCCTCCTTCCTCCCTCTCTCTCTCTCGCCCTCTCTTTCTTTTTTTTATCCATCCCTCCTTCCCTCGCTTCCTTTTTCCCTCCTTCCTCCCTCCCTCTCTCGCGTCCTCTCTTTCTTTTTCCCATCCATCCCTCCTTCCCTCGCTTCCTTCTTCCCTCCTTCCTCCCTCCATCTCTCTCGTCCTCTCTTTCATTTTTTTCCATTCATCCCTCCTTCCCTCGCTTCCTTCTTCCCTCCTTCCTCCCTCCCTCTCTCTCGCCCTCTCTTTCTTTTTTCCATCCATCCCTCCTTCCCTCGCTTCCTTCTTCCCTCCTTTCTCCCTCCCTCTCTCACGTCCTCTCTTTCTTTTCCCATCCATCCCTCCTTCCCTCGCTTCCTTCTTCCCTCCTTCCTTCCTTCCCTCTCTCACGTCCTCTCTTTCTTTTCCCATCCATCCCTCCTTCCCTCGCTTCCTTCTTCCCTCCTTCCTCCCTTCCCTCGCTTCCTTCTCCCTTTCCTCGCTTCATTCTTCCTTCCTTCCTCCCTCCCTCTCTCGCGTCCTCTCTTTCTTTTCCCATCCATCCCTCCTTCCCTCGCTTCCTTCTTCCCTCCTTCCTCCCTTCCCTCGCTTCCTTCTCCCTTTCCTCGCTTCATTCTTCCTTCCTTCCTCCCTCCCTCTCTCACGTCTTCTCTTTCTTTTCCCATCCATCCTCCTTCCCTCGCTTCCTTCTTCCCTCCTTCCTCCCTCCCGCTCTCACGTCCTCTCTTTCTTTTTCCATCCATCCCTCCTTCCCTCGCTTCCTTCTTCCTCCTTCCTCCCTCCCTATCTCGCGTCCTCTCTTTCTTTTCCAATCCCTCCCTCCTTCCCTCGCTTCCTTCTTCCCACCTTCCTCCCTCCCTCTCTCACGTCCTCTCTTTCTTTTTCCATCCATCCCTCCTTCCCTCGCTTCCCTCTTCCCTCCTTCCTCCCTCCCACTCTCACGTCCTCTCTTTCTTTTCCATCCATCCCTCCTTCCCTCGCTTCCTTCTTCCCTCCTTCCTCCCTCCCTTCTTCGCGTCCTCTCTTTCATTTTTCCATCCCTCCCTCCTTCCCTCGCTTCATTCAGCATATAAAGCTGCTTTAGCATATACAATACTCTTTCCCTCCCTCCTTCCCTCCATCGCTTCTTTCTTCCCTCCTTCCTCCCTCCCTCTCTTTCTTTTCCCATCCATCCCTCGTTCCCTCGTTTCCTTCTTCCCTCCTCTCTCCCTCCCATTCTCGCGTCCTCTCTTTCTTTTCCCATCCATCCCTTCTTCCCTCGCTTCCTTCTTCCCTCCTTCCTCCCTCCCTCTCTCACTGCCTCCCTCTCTCTTCTTTTTCCCATCCATCCCTCCTTCCCTCGCTTCCTTCTTCCCTCCTTCCTCCCTCCTCTCTCCGTCCTCTCTTTCTTTTCCCATCCATCCCTCCTTCCCTCGCTTCCTTCTTCCCTGCTTCCCTCCTCCCTTCTTCGCGTCCTCTCTTTCTTTTTTCCATCCCTCCCTCCTTCCCTCGCTTCCTTCTTCCCTCCTTCCTCCCTCCCTCTCTCTCGCCCTCTCTTTCTTTTTCCATCCATCCCTTCTTCCCTCGCTTCCTTTTTCCCTCCTTCCTCCCTCCCTCTCTCGCGTCCTCTCTTTCTTTCTTTTTTCCATTCATCCCTCCTTCCCTCGCTTCCTTCTTCCCTCCTTCCTCTCTCACGTCCTCTCTTTCTTTTTTCCATCCATCCCTCCTTCCCTCGCTTCCTTCTTCCATCCTTTCTCCCTCCCTCTCTCACGTCCTCTCTTAATTTCCCATCCATCCCTCCTTCCCTCGCTTCCTTCTTCCCTCCTTCCTCCTTCCCTCTCTCACGTCCTCTATTTCTTTTTTTCCATCCATCCCTCCTTCCCTCGCTTCCTTCTTCCCTCCTTCCTCCCTTCCCTCACTTCCTTCTCCCATCCCTCGCTTCCTTCTTCCTTCCCTCCTTCCATCGTTTCCTTCTTCCCTCCCACTCTCACGTCCTCTCTTTCTTTCTCATCCATGCCCTCTTTCCCTCGCTTCCATCTTCCCTCCTTCCTCCCTCCATCTGTCTCGTCCTCTCTTTCTTTTTTTTCCATCCATCCCTCCTTCCCTCGCTTCCTTCTTCCCTCCTTCTCCCTCCCCTCTCTCGCGTCCTCTCTTCTTTTCCATCCATCCCTCCTTCCCTCGCTTCCTTCTTCCCTCCTTCCTCCTTCCCTCTCTCACGTCCTCTCTTTCTTTTCCCATCCATCCCTCCTTCCCTCGCTTCCTTCTTCCCTCCTTCCTCCCTTCCTCGCTTCCTTCTCCCTTTCCTCGCTTCCTTCTTCCCTTCTTCCTCCCTCCCTCTCTCGCGTCCTCTCTTTCTTTTCCCATCCATCCCTCCTTCCTCGCTTCATTCTTCCCTCCTTCCTCCCTCCCTCTCTCGTCCTCTCTTTCTTTTCCATCCATCCCTCCTTCCCTCG